ATTATTATTATTATTATTATTATTATTATTATTATTATTATTATTATGTCATGAATTGAAATTACAGTCCAAACTGTTAATAAACAGTTCGTAGATTGTGACTCCACATAAGTTTCCATGGAGGAGATTTAATATACTTTTTCCCCCCTTGTCTCATATCGCCCTCTTTCTTAAAAGAATGTAAATTCCTTGCTTTTCCAATCTAACAAGGTTCTGGATGACAATACATTAGAATTTGACTCACCAACAAAGGCACTGATGGATAGAAAATTCTCCAGGCTGGGTTGATTGGCGTCAGTGTTCTTTCTTAGTTCAGAGTATTTTCATTGATGTTTTTTTGAGTTTTGATGTATCAGCATTCTTTTTATCTCTGTTATTGCTTTTTCAAAGAAATATGTTGTTAGATCCATTCCCTGTCTGCTGGCTGGGAAGTTTGGATTCAAACAGTAATTAGCAAATGCTTATCTTCTGCAGTGAGTTAAATAGAAATATCTGAAGGAATTACCAGAGCTCATTAGAGTACCGTATATACTGCCACCTTGCCATCTTCCTATCACTAATACAACTGGATAATCTCTGTGATTACACTTTTACATTATTTTTCTTTTTTAAATCCTAATTTTTCTGGAAGAAAAAAAAAGAGATCTTCTACTTACTGTTCAAATCAAATAGAATTTATTTTCAAACAAAACAACTTAATGGGACCATTTGGAAGAGTGTTTAAACACAACTATTAAAAATCTGCAAGAAGAGGGACAAAGCATTTTTTCATTTCTGCTATTTCCTCTTAAACATGTTTTATATGGTTAAGAATATTATCACAGCATGCAGTTTTCTCTCTAGATAGCTAGAAGTCTAGGTTTATAGGAAAAAGTAGAGCATATATTTTGCATGAGAAAAATGACAGGTTTTGATGTTTGAGTTTTCTAGATGTTTGATTTTCAAGGGCTGGGAAAAACCTTTGGCGGTGAAATTGCTAAAAATGAAAAGAGAGCAAGGCACAAATTCAGTTTAATATAAGGCAACTTGTATGCTTCCAATACATCCTTAATTAAGATTCTTATCTTGAAAGGTGAGCGTGGAATTCGTGGTCTACGAGGAGCACCTCCTAAAATCATGCCAAACGTAATGCTGGAAGTGAAAGGTGAAAAGGGAAGTAGAGGAACATTTGGTGTTAAAGGGAACATCGGTCTACAAGGTAAAGAGCCACTATGTATCATAAACACAATATATTAAAATTTTTGTTGTACCTTTCAAAATGCCCCAAGTTCTGATTTTTTTATAGTGAGAGAATGCAAGCTTTCTTCTCATCAGATCGTACAGTACATTCCTCTCATTCCTTGTATGAAAGCAAGCATTCCCCACCCCTAGTCTACGAGTCTGTCCTAACTGAAACAATTCATTGCCTTTTACTTTTCTTAAATTTTTCCCTTCCTTGGATTAAGGGTGACTTCAAATACATAAATAACAAAAGGAAGAGATTCCTGGTGAATTGTGGACAATACAGCTGTAATGGTCTCAAGACTTTATTTTTATTTATTTATTTATTTCTCAGTAGCTTACAAGATAATAAACGTAAATATAAAAACTAATATAAAGACGAATGGAAAAGGAGGGTTGCAGCCAATTGCAGATTACTCTCAGAGAATAGAAGACATATAGAGTAGTGCTGCTTACGTTAACCATCTTTGGACCTTTTTGAAACCTCAGATATCTGCATATCTGGGAAACTGGAGATGTTATAGAACCATATTATTAGTCTGAACTCTACATATTCAAGCTGAGTAGACAGAAAAAAAATGGCTTTTCCTGAACTGAGGTGGCTTGGGGTTCTTCACAGCCTTGTTAGATTCCTGACATAAGGTTGTGACCATCACAGTTTATCTTGGAGGAATTTTATAAGAAGGCTTAAGGAACTAGCAAGAGTAGCATTGTTCTTTGGAGACCCAATACTCAAGGAAAATGTCCAGCTATGGTCCACCATTTCCTCATTATTCTGCGCTGATTTCAAGTGATAAAGCCAGATAATTCTGGGTTTTAGTAAACCAGGATAGCATTCACACCCAGGCACCAATCGATTCCATTCAAGGAAAAGAAGTGCATTCTAATTAATATTAATTAATCAATTACTTTTTAATCAAAGGTATGCAATTCATAGCAGCATAAAAGAGACATCCATGAATATAATAACCATATTGTATTACAATAGCAAAATACAACTAAAAAAAAATCCTACTGTTCACCATAACGTCAATACTAGGCATCAAATGTCTAAAAAGGAAGGTTTCAATGCTTGTCTGAATGCCAGAAGTGAAAGGTTAAAATGCCTAGCATATTTCCCATTGGGTCAATCAGAGAGAAGGTCTGCTTTCTCATCCTCTTACCTTTCACCAAGGAAGAATCTTAAGCAAGCCCCTTCGGTCGCCCTCACAGGATAGGCAGAATGATGTTGGATATAGTGCTCTATGCCTCTATTGAACACGCCAATTTAGAAGCAAGAACTTTTGGATAGAGCTACTACTGATGCCAAGCAGACTTGAGACATAAAGGTTTGCAGAGAAGAAAAGAAATTAACATTTTCAACTGTATTTTTGTAGGAAGTAAAGGAACGCTGGGATCACCTGGTCCAACAGGAATGTCAGGCTTTCCTGGAATTCCTGGTTTAGAAAAAGGTCATAAAGGCGATGCCGGAATTAAAGGAATAAGAGGTGTTCCAGGATACATTGGTGTCCCAGGTCCTCGTGGTATTTCTGGTTTCCCTGGAACCACAGGACGGAGGGTGAGCAAAATTGGGTGTGTTGATGGTTGTCTGCATGCATGAATCGAACTACCTCTGTGTTTTAACTCTTACTTTATGGGAGCTCATTAAACAGAGCATCAAAATCCCTAAATCAAATGTATCCCATAATACATTAAATGTATTATGTAAATGTATCCCATAATACATTAAATGGT